CCCCCCTTTTTTTTTTTTTTTTTTTTTTTTTTTTTTTTAATTTGAGACAGGGTCTGCTAAATTGCCCAGACTGGCCTCAAGCTTGTAATCCTCCTGGCTTGGCTACCCAGAGTGCTGGGATTACAGGTGTGTACCACTACTTCTGGCTTCTTTTCAACATGCCAAGACATTGATCACTTCCATGGCCTCTATACCAATTTCCTCTGTCTAGAGTATATCTTCTTTCTTCCAATCTTAGTTTAAATATCACCTCTCTGGCTTGAGAGGCTGTTTTGACTCTATTCAATTGGGTGTGTCCTTCCTGTCCGAACTGCCTTGATTTCATTAGGTTCTCAACAAAGTGCCATGTTTTTTTCATAGCATTTTTTAGAATTTACAGTTATGGAGGGAGGGTGTTGAGACAGTGTCTCACTATGTAGTCCAAGGCTGGGCTTGAAACTAGCTATGTAGGCCGGGCATGGTGGCGCACGACTGTAATCCCAGCACTCGGGAGGCTGAGACAGGAGGATCACTTGTGAGTTCGAGACCAGCCTGGGCTACATAGTGAGTTCCAGGTCAGTCTCAACTACGTAGTGAGACCCCGTCTCGAAAAACCCAGGCTGGCCTCAAAAATCACTGTGATCCTCCTGCCTCAGCCTGCCAAGTGCTGGGATAACAAACATGTACCACCATACCCTGCTATCAATATGTATTAAATTTGGCTTTGCTACATCTAATACTTGCCTACATAGTATTAGCTGTCCATTTATAAAAATTCTTCGGAGGTTTTCAGGAAAAAGTCCACATTTCTTAGCATGGCACATAAGACCCTTTGTGACATAGGGATGCTCATCTCTACTTTATCTTTAATTGCTAGGTTATCTTCAAATTTAATCTCAGTTCCTATGAACACAGTGTTCTTTGCCTGAAATGCCCTTTTCTTTTGTCAGGCTGACTCCTTTTCATCTGTTGATGTAGCTCCTTCCACACCCAGCTGGGCTAAGTTTAGAATCTTCCCCTTGTGCTGACATCTCTCATACATACTATCACTCTCTGTGGTAATTGTCTGCTTTTCTATTTTCCTCTACTGGACAATAAGTTCCTTTAAGCAAGGATTAGTATATTTACTGGGCATGGTGGTACACACACACCTGTAATCCTGGCACTGGGGAGGCTGAGATAGGAGGATTGCTGTAATTTCTAGGCAAGCCTGATCTACATAGTGAGACCCTGTCTGAAAAAACAAACAAAAAAGATTAGTATTTCCAACTCTGTAATCTCTTCCCAAAGAAAGGTTCAATACAATCTATTTTCATTTGCCATCCTAATATATATTTGTATGATACAGCAGGGGGACATTATATCGTGTATGTATCCACAAACATGATTGGCTTGCTTTGTATTAAGACTGATGAGTTTACATTCCCCACCCCCTCTTTTATCCCAGCAGTCACATTTTAAGAACTTATATTGATAGTGTATTACTAAGCATGTGTTTTAGGTATGATTAAACTTCAATTGTAATGAGTCTGTTTAATTGCCAGCGGACAACTTTGTAGAGTTGACTGAGTATCCAGTTAGTCTCTCTGTTGAGGCAATTAGTGTCACTGCAGAAGTGGAGGCAGCAGACTGCGATGGCGCGGGAGACACAGTGTTTGTGCAGCTGAACACAACAAAAATATGGATATGAGAAACCAACATCCTTCTTTTACTAGGTGTTAGACAATTCAAAAGGAAGTAAAAGGTATAGAATAGCAAGTAATCAGCTTAACTGGTCTGTCGAGTGACAAGAATTACAAGAACTTGGAGAGGATTCTAACAAAGCAAGTTTTTGAAATAGACTCTGTAGATACAAAGGAAAAAAAGACATTGAGCAAGCTAGGAAGAGGGTGGTACAAGAGACAACACCTTCTCCAAGAGTTGGAGCAGAAGGCAAACAACCCATACTGGATTGACATATAGAACATCTTCAAGAAGCCAGGGCCTTTATGAAAGAGAAAGGTCCTTTTATAACAGAGGCAACTGCATCACTGATAAAATTGAGGAAGGCATCCAGGATATCATTCTGAGACTGACACATGTTAAAACCAGAGGAAAGATCTTTTTGCAGCAAGCAAGGTATCACACTCTAACCAAAAGCTGTGCCATGCAAGAGATTATCAAAGACTTTATGAAACAGCAGCTTTCCCTGCCATTTTCTGAAACTGCATATCCTTCTGTCGCCAGAAATCAACTGATGTGTGAAGTGAACAAGATCAGAGGTGTCGTCATCATGCTTCTAATAAGAGTGGACAGTAGTAAGACTTGCAGGTACTTACCATGTGTGCTCTCAGGGCTGGTCGCCGAAGTTATTGAAGTATTTGGTTTAGAAGAGGGATACTACTCACACACTTGACCAGAGGCAGAACCTTTCCATTTTAAAACTAGGAAAGGTCCTCCAGAGGATAAGAGAAATAAAAACGAATTTCTTCAAGTTCAAAACCTTCCCGAGTTGTACCTGAGCTCCAAGACAGAAATGCAGGGTTTGATTGGACAAGTGGATGAGGTAAGGATGAGAAACTCCTGCATTTGGGAAGCCAGGAGAAGAGCTGGGATTGAAGTACAAACTCTGGTTACTTGTATCAACCTGAAGGAGGTCTGGAGAAAAGGAAGCAGTTTACTTGCGAGGACTACCTGTCGCATAAGGCATTTGGGATGTTCTTGATACCTGTCAGAGAAGTCTTCTCATTTGATGGAAATCGAACTGATAAGAATTACATCGGGCTGGAGGAGCTGCTGACCATGGAGTTGCTGACCCTGGATGCCATGGACAGGGAGAGGACAAGTGTAAGGCTGCCAGGCAGCAGGCCATGAAGCTGGCCCAGAACATCCTCAGCTATCTTGGCTTGAAATCTGATGAGTAGGAACCCTAAAACTACAGAGCTGTCATGGTTATCTCACTGGTTTGCACTTTATACATACTTTTATATATTTATGGAGAGCTCTCAGTTTATGGAGCCTAAATGTGATTTATATACACATATTTGAATCTCAGTATTTATGATGTAAGCAAATTATATTCGGGAACTCTACTGCTTTTGATGTTAAAAAACATAATTATAGCACATTAACCTTTCCATTTGGACCACCATATGGTTTATTTGGTTTTTTGTGTTTTGTATATGAGTTTTTAATCAAAATATGAAACAAACAACATTCATAATTTTTAAATGAGTTTTTCAAGCATTTAAATGCAGAAACTTTAGCATCTAGATGTAGATATAACCTTGTATAATACTAGGGGAATTAATGAGAAGGGCAAATTTTTTGGTAAAGTCTAGGCAGTAAGTTTTATTATGCTAAATAAAACAGAGGGGTTTTTTCACTTATAAGGCCGACTTGTTCTCACCTAGTGTTTGTGTTTGTTTGTATTGCCTATTCCTTCATAAACATTTTTGTTTGAAGAGAGAAATAATTATCTAGTGGGTTGACCTGTGTCAGAGCAATTTAGGAAGGAAGGATAGTCCTGCCCAAAAGTAAAATGGAATCAGTAGAAAACTAGTATTTCATTTTTTTTAAACTGAAGTTAGTTTCATTAGTGTGATGAGATTTTGCCACCAGTTGTTCATAGTGGGAAGTCTTTTAAATGATTTTATTCCAATTAGATATTCTCAGAATGATGGTCTTTTGCTTTTTATTTTATTTATTTATTTATTTATTTATTTATTTTTGGTATTGGGGATCGAACTCGGGTCCTTGTGCTTGTGAGGCAGGCAGCGGAACCACTGAGCTAAATCCCCGGCCCCGTCTTTTGCTTTTTAAAACTTGTTTTTCCTCCCTTCCTTCCTTTTTTATTTGATTTTTTTCTTTTGTGGTATTGGGGTTTGAACCTACCGTATTTGCACTGAGCTACATCCCCAGCTTTTTTTTTTTTTTAATTTTGAGACAGGGCCTATGCTGGACTCAAACTTGTGATCCCCCTGTGTCAGCCTCCCAGAACTCTAAGATTACAGATACGTGCCATCACACCTGCTGGAACTTGTTTTCATAATGGTGTTTGGGTTCAAGTTTCTAATGTCACATATTGGTTATATGGATGAACTAAACAGTAGTTAAGAAGACCACTATGTTGGTTGCATAAATATGACTTCATAAAGCTTTGGATTTTGGAGTTCAGATTTTCAGAGTAGAGGTGCTTAACCTATATAGTTTATTTGAATATTCTAAAATCTGAAAAACTCTGAAATCTTAAACTTTTCTGGTCCCAAGCATTTTGAATAAGGGATACCCAACCTGTACTTTATTTGATTTGCTATAATACTTGGGTATTTAATTTAATTTTAGTTAATTAATTTTTAGGTACTGGGGATTAAACTCAGGACCATTGCTCTGAGCTCCATCTCCAGCCCTTTTATGTTTTTAAGATAGGAGTTTCACTAAGTTTCCTAGAAGAGGTTTGAACTTGCTATCTTCCTGCCTCAGCCTCACAGAGTACTGATATGGTGTGTGCCACCACACCCAGCTCTGACTCACTGTAGTACTTTGATGTTGACCCTTAATTAGATGCTCACAGTTCACAGTAAGTGGTGTAGAATGGCAGTAATTCCAGGGAGTAGAGCAGTTGAGCTGCTCTCCCAATCAGGAACTCCATATTGAAGTTTTCACTTTTTTTTTTGTTTTTACTTTTCACTCTTTTAGAGAAAGTTGTTATCATCTAATATCATAATTACAGTCAGGTAGTAGTTGTTATGGGATCATTGTTAGTTTCTCCTTTTGAAAATAAACAGATATTCTTTGTGAATTCTGCAGCCATTTATCACTTAAGAGCCAAAATGTATGAAAATAAAATGAAGTCTGGCCTCTTCTCTAAGATCGATGGAGCTCAGCATCAAGTGTGCTCTCCAAATGGCAGTAAAACACTGCCTTGTCACCCCCAGCCCAGCTGCAGCCATTGCCATGGCCGCACAAATCCATGATTGAAAGGAACCAGGACAGTTGAAAACATTTATTTGCTTGTCCGAACCTTAAAAGTACACAGGATAGTGTAAGAGAACGCATGGAGAGATGGCACACTCATGGATTGTGTTGATGTGACAGCTTGAGCGTATAAACTGAATGCGGGGGGGAGTAGAGCAAAGAGCTTTTTCTAGAGAGGACTCTACGACAGATGCTTACCTAATGATGAAGAAGATTTTTGTTGGCAGCATTGAAGATGACACAGAAAATAATTTGAGAGGCTACTTTGAAAAGTATAAGAGAGTGAAATAGAAGCTGGGAGTTGTAGTACATTCCCATAATCCTAGCACTCGGGAGGCTGAGGCAGGATGATTGTGCATTAGAGAGTACCTGAGTTCAAGGCCAACCTGGGCCACATTGGAAGATCCTATCTCCAAAGCAAAACAAGATTGAGAGCAGAAGTTATTGAAGATGGACAGAATGGTAAAAAAGAGAAGACTTGGTTATAGCTTTTGATAATGATACAGTTAATAAAGTTCTTGTTCAGAAATACCACACTGTTAATGGGCACAACCGGGAAGTGCAAAAGGCCCTAAAATAAGGGATGAAGCCCAGTGGGTCACAGAGGTTGTGGGGGAAACTTTGGAGGTGGTGGAAGTAATTTTGGCCATGGTGGAAACCCTGGTGGAAGGGGAGGCAATGGTGGCTGTAACAGATTTGGAGGTGGTTCTGGTTAGAATAGTACCAGGGCTATGATAGTGTACCGGGCTATTGAAACCAAGATATTGTAGTGGATATGGTAGCTACGACAAGTTACAGTGGAAGTTTTGGCCATGATAAGTATGGTATTTTGGAGAACTATAATGATTTTGGAAATTATAATGGAAAATAGTAAAATTGTGGACATATGAAGGGGGGCAGTTTTGACGGAGGAAGCTTGGGCAGCCCCTGTGTTGACAGATATTGTAGCAGAGGCTTCTGAACATAACAGAAAAGGGCTGCATTTCTTAGGAGAGGAAAGGGTTGTCAGGAAAGCTACAGATTACTTTGAGACAGTTGTCTCAGATGCATTACAGGAAATGTAAAAATCTGCCAGAGAAGAAATAATAATCCACAGTCAAAAGGTTATTGCAGCTTAAATAGGAAACCATGATACCCAGTTTGCAGCAAATGCAGTGTAGCATCAGTTACGGCCCTCAGTCTGCTATAGCTTTTTCTTTTTGTTGTATCAGGTATACTGCCCTGTAAATTGGGGTAGTGTATCCCAATACAAAATTAAAATTTTAAATTTCAAAACATAAATAAGTCCCCAAACTTATGTACGTGTGTGTGTGTGTGTGTGTGTGTGTGTAGTGCTGGGCTTGAACCCAGGGCCTTCTGTATGTTGCCACTCTACTGCTGAGCTGTATCTGTAACTCTAACAACTCAGACCTTTTCATAAGACAGCATAAGCCTTTCCAGTGTTGTATAGTCTCATGGAGTCAGTCAGGCTGTAGATTTTTGGTGGTTATTGTTACTTTTTTTAAACCAGTCACATTATTTTCCATGTGTTCTTCTGAACAGTACATCTGCTGAAGCACTCTTCCTTCTTTCTCCTCTACTAGCTTTCAGGTGTCTTTCCAGTTACAGCTTCCTGATCTGAACCTGCTCTACCATACTTTCAACTTCTCAGTTCTTTGAGTCTGACAGTGGGGGCTTCCCTCAGTCCTAACCCCAATCATGCAGTGCTAAATAGTCTATTTGCTTGTTTCCCAACTAGAGTGAATGTAGAGGTTATCTTTTATCATGGCATGCCTGTATCCCTTTTGTACCAGTAAAAAACCAAAAACTAAGATATTCAGTTTGTTTTTTAGACCCTAACCCTTTCCTTTACTCCATGCCAAGTACATAGTAGGTACCAAATAAACATTTGCTAATTGAAAGAATGTTGCCTTAAATCCTAAAATTTCTATACTTTCAGACTCGCAAGAAACAGAAGGAAGATGTTGATGTAGGAGGCAATGATGGAGAAGGAACCATTGGGCTCAGCAGTGACCCCAAGAGCCGGGAACAAATGATCAATGATCGGATTGGTTATAAACCCCAACCCAAGCCAAACAATCGCTCATCTCAGTTTGGAAGTTTTGAATTTTAAAGATGGATTCCCTTGCACAACAGATCCCTGGAATGGAGTAAAATGATAGGAGAAATACCAGATTTAGAGAATTGAGCACATGCAGTGAAGCAGAGTATTTTACCTCCTGCAGAGGAAGATAAATTCTGCATGAAATTACTGATGTTCAACTTTCACACTAAGCTGGAATTTGAACTCTGGTTTGTCTCTGGAAAATTTTACTCTGTAGAACATCTGATTTTTGTTTTTTTAAAAATAAATATATTTTTGGAAAATTGTGACACATCCTTAATGTAGCTAAGTAGAACTGCTAAGCCCTGGGCTTTGAAAGGTAACTTCTAATAAAAGGTAACCTCATTCCTGTTTTCACTAAAAGACTCAAAGCGCAGAACATATTTGGTTGGACCATATTAATTTCATTTAACTCATTCAAGTATTTATTGAGTGGCTTTCATGTCTAATTAGCAAAGGTTTCTGCCCTTGTGGCTAGTAGATCGTATTTATTTTGTGTAAATCTGAGCAAGTTGTAAATGCCTGATTTGTTTTCCTGAATGACTTTGTAATTAGTTTGAGTATAACATTAGGAGGACAGAAAAATGGAGCAAAACTTGAGGAACTCTCCTGACAGTGTTACTGTTGTTCAAATATTTCTTCCTATCTCAACTTGTTTAAGAATTTTTTCCAGCAGGAACCTATCTTAGCACAGCTCAGAGTAATCTTGAATCATGCCGTTGTTTTCACCACTAAATTTAATGACAAGAAACCACTGCTGTGGTAGTAAACACCTGTGGAATTATCAGTTCTAAAGAGGCCCTATAACTGGGTTCTACCTACCCTTTTTAGGATAGTTTAAACCTGAGTAAAAACTTGGGAAAGTCAGGGATAGAAAGAGATATATAATAGTTTATTTTAGACATTCTTAAACAATCTTTACTCATCCAATTTTATTTACAACCTATCAATTTTATCTTACTGTTTTAAAAGCAAGAGCAACAAAAACCCTCCAAGACTGTCTCTAGATAGGGACATCAAGTTATATTAAAGCCTCGTGGAAATGCACGCAAAAAATCAAAGAGAAGAACAAGACTGCCTCAGCTTTGTGGCTATGAATCCCTAGCACAAATTAGCATGAACTGGCACAGAAGCAAGAAAACAACGTGCCTCCTGAATATCTTTCCCTGTCCTTACTAATAATAACTAGCACTGAGGACTGTATTTAAGATATTACTGTGTGCTTTAACTCCCATAAGAATACTTAATTCTAATTTTATAATAATTATTAAAGCTCAGCAATTAAGTGGTAGAGCTGAAATTTGAAGGCAGGCAGTTTGCTTTCTGAACTCATGCCTATAAACTTCATTGTTACATTGCTTTCTTGGTCTTCCTCTGCTGAGTTTAAGGAGGTAGAGATATTAAAGTGAGGTTACTGTTTAGGCTTCAGGGAATTTTCGTGCTATTTTATTACCAGAATGAGACAATTGCCAGACCAGTAGATCAGGGCTTATTGCAGCTGTTAATCTCTTGGCTCAACCGAAATCACATGCATCCACTCTTAGAATCTATTCAAATCTGGATTACCCAAATTCAGGAAGTTGGTTAGGAGCTTGTAAAGAGATACTAACCTTATCTAGAAGTGTTTATCTTCAATTTTCCTGAAAGCTGGAGGAAGAATATAAACAGTAGATAATAAAAACATATTATGGCTGGGATGCGTGCTTTGTGTGGGATGCCTTACCCTGATTGCTAATTCAAGTAAGTATTATTATTGCTCTTTTTATAAATGAGAAAACTAAGGCTTCAGGCTTGTTAGAATAACTTTTCCTAAAGTCACACTGCTAGTAAGCGGTGGAATTCAGAGTCAAACCTACTGACTCCAAAGTCCTTGCTCTTCATATTACACTAAGAAGACTAGGAATGGCCAGAATGACAAAATGCCCCCTGGGGGCCAGAAGCACAGCAAGCAACACCAGCATTCTGGCCCTACCAGAGGGACAGGCAGGGGCAGGGCTCAGCACAAATTTTGCAGTGAACTTAGAGGCTCAGTTCAGAGCCTCCTTCCTGATGGCATAAACACAGGAAAGGGACTATGATGTGACAAAAGCTAGCTTTTAAATTCAGGAATCTTTGGTACACTGAAATACATCCAGCTTTGTGAAGAACCTGTCTCCTTTGCAAAAGGTCACATAGATCTGGCATATACTAGGTCATCATGTTAAGTAGAAGAGAGGAGAGTGAGACGACAATGGGATCATGCCACTTAACAGCCCCTGACATCTTAAAAACTGATGCTGCAGGCCAGCCTTCATGCAGACTGCAGAGACCAGCTTCTGATATCACTTTGGGCAGAAAGACATACTAGAATCACAAAATCAAAGTATTTATTTTGTTCCTTTGCACATGACACTGTTAAAACATTTCTACTATAGCAATACTGCTCTCAAGAGCTTACAATCTTAAACAGTCAACATGAATTGTAGACTCAGTGATTAAGGCATTATTTCAAATGCAGACTTTCTATCTTTAGATGTATCTTCTGAAGAAGGGGCTGGAAAGGGCAGGGTCAAAATGACAAGACATAAGTATGTACTCCTTGCCTTATGCCCCAGCTCCTCATAAGGAACTCCTTGTGACTGGAACCTAATCCTAGTACTCACAACCTGAAAGAATTTTCGACAGTCCTACCACAGAAGTAGTGAAGAAACTTTAATTTTGAATCCTCTGAGGGTAATATTTGTGACCAATGGGGGTGCTGAGTGTTCCTTCATTAAAAACAAGAAACAGCACCTCAGATTTGTAATGCTGGGGAGGGTACTGCCCTTTACCTAGCTTTATAGAAATTCCAGTGGGGCAATTGCTTCTAGACACATACTTAAGGTCTCTATCAGGTTTATAATACCGATTTCTGATTGGTTATATCCATGGTATAGCAATGGCCACAGGATAAAAGACTGAAAGATTGGGAGGACAGCAAAGTAAGATGCCAAAGAAATGGAGACATAGCCTTCTAATGGGTTTGAAAAGGGAAGGAAAAAATAGTTTAGATCCAAAACAAGTCAATGAGGTCAGGCATTAAATTCCAAATGAACAGGGATACAGAAATGAAAGTCAATGAGATCACTGTGTCGACAAAATACAAGAGCTCAAGAAAGATGGCACTTAAGCTTTAACTTTTTTCTCCTTCACTAGCTTCATCTTTTGGCAAACTAGTCTAAGGATCTATAAAATTCATGCTTTTCAGATTAACTCTACTCCAAATATCTGAAGACTCGCCCCAAACTGAGGTTTCTCTCTGTGAGTTTAAAATTCATAGCACTTTATCTTGACTGTATTTGATTTTTCTCACCCCACTGATAAGGTCCTGTTCCTGGAAGGTATTTTATAGCAGTTCAGGCCTAGATTTCTAGAGAGCACCAGAATCAGCACTAAACATGGATTCTTATGTACATCTCATGGTTTTATTATTTCTTGGCTTCTAAGGAATAAAAGCTGTTCATACAACAAACTATTTCTATCTTAATGTTGGGCTGTCCAGAAGTACCTATCATTCACTTTGCTCATGCTACGTATCAGCACTACAAGGGGAGGAAATGTAAGAAAAGTTCAAAGGTCTAAATGTTGATTCTTGCATTTTAATCTCAACCCAGTAGGCTCAAAACCCTCTCTTGGTTCACAGATGTAGAAGAACACAGTCTTTGCTCTCCAATATTTAACTGGTACCCACAGAAAAAGTACAAATTTCAAAACCGCAACACAGGACAACAGGATAACTGTGTTTTATCTCCTCTGCCCTGAGGCACAATTGGATCTAGCACCAAAGAGGGCAGGAATGAACAGACCAGCACAAGAAGAATCACTTTAAAGAGGTAGTTTGGGAACAAGACTGCAATGTAGACAAACAACCGAGCAGAATAAAAATCCAATGTGATTCTTCATTGAGAAAAGAGGTTTTGGCCACGTGTGATCTAATAAAGCCCCCAAGAGTAATAGTAAAGGTGGTCATGCTGGGTATGAGGATGTACCTAGTATGGACATGGATGTTGGGGGATGAAGAAATTCTGGGCATCAGCAGACCATACCTCATGTCTCTCTAAAGAGAAAGCTGGGCTTTTGCCCTTCTGGCTCATGACTGGTTCATTTATACAGCAGAGCAAAGGTCTCTCTCCATATTCAGTTTCCAAGGAATCACAGATCTTTAAAAACATGGACTAATGCCTTTGTACATGCTGATGGAAGTACTTTGGTTATAGTCCTTCACAAATGTGCGTGTGATTACTTATACACACAGTTGGAGCTGAATAAATGTTTTGGAATGATTAAGTGTTGACCAGAAACATTTACTATGTGAGGTATGTGCAGACATACCACCTACCAACCAGCAATTCAAATTCTCATGCCCAATAACAGGGAGCCCACCCACCTCAGATGTACTTCCTTAGTTTAAAGCAGAGATTCTCAAAGTGTGGTCCTCTGGTCCACCAGCAGGGCACTACCTGGGAACTCACAAATACCAGATTTGGGGCTCTGGGCTTGGGGCCCCATAACTAGTGTTTTAACAAACTCTCCAGATGATTTTGATGCAGGTGAAAGTTTAAAAATTACTGATTTAGGGCCAGGGATTTAGCTCAGTGGTTCTGCCAACTGCCTTGCAAGTACAATGTCCCAAGTTCAATCCCTGGTACCAAGAAAAAAAAAAGAAAAGAAAAGAAACGAAAAAAAGACAAAAAAAAAATCACTGATTTGTAGGCAGACACATAAAAATGAGGAAAAAAATAAAACTTTTGTGCAGCTGGGACAAACAAAGGTATCAAGTCAAAGTAAAATGCCAATGGTTTTAAAAATGTCTATTCTATTTTCTCAAATTGATTGTCTTTTTTTATTGACAAGCTCATTCTAATAAAAATGTTAAGTGTGAACACAAGCTAATGAGTAACTCAAGAATACACACTCTGCAAGTTATGGGCCTACATTTAGTCTGAAAACCACTCCTTTGCACACTATCAAGAGTTTGGTGCAACACATCACACCTAGAGAAAGGCACAATGTATCTCCCCCTTTTGGGGTCTAAAGACTGGAGCTTAATTTTTAATGTGAAGTTTGAGTTTGGGGGTTAGTTGGGCAAGAATATTCCTCAGTTGTCATCAATCCTGGCTGAAGTTAATCTCTTCCATCACTGACCCAAGGAAAAAAACCACCAAATTCACACACTGTCTGTTAAAAACAAAAAACAAAAAACCCAGGTTAAAAAAAGGAAGCAGACAATCAAGTCATTGACTAGAAAGCTACCCAGATTAGACAAGAATCTAGGACGATGAGGGAGAAGACATCTCATGGCTGGCTTCTCTTTAAGGGTATTGGGAATCTCAACTTAGTAGAAAAGGCTGATTTTCCTCAGAGAAAGAAACTGTAAACTAAACCTCTATTCAGCAGGTGTGTGTGTGTGTGTGTGTGTGTGTGTGTGTGTACAGAGACAGGAACAAGAAGGGGCGATTGGAGCAGGAATCATGTCTTCCAGTCTTGAACTGCTTCCCACTGCAATCAATAAGGCCACACACCACGGACTCTGACGTTAATGGCAATGCTCTGTGATGTCTACTACCACTGCCTTCTTCCAACTGAAGAAAAAGTATCCTGTTCCAGCCCCTGCTGCTACTGCGATGCAGAGGTACCCGTTGTAGGTCATGAAGATAAGCATGAGGAAGTAGCTGATGACCACTTGGATGATATGCAGCACTGTCTGCAGAAGGTGAGGAAAACTCAGCATCTGCTGCCTGGGGAGTGAATAGGGACACAACAATCAGATTCACAGGAGCTCTGCAGATCAGAAAAAAGAGGTCAGCCTCCACAGGACTGCCTGACAGTCACTTGACAACTCATTGGTAATATGCATGTGTTTTACTGTCCCTGAAACAAAATACCATAGAGCTGTCAGGATACAAGCACTGGACAGACATGGTTATGTGCTGTTGGTAGGAGCTACATTTTTTGAGAAGAGGGTAAAAGGAGAAGTAATTTTGACTTATCTCCAATTTGGACCCTGAAAAGGAAACCCTAACCCTTCACACATGTATTTGCTTGAATATTTTTGAGACTTCCACCTTTGCAAAGTTTGCAGTCCACAAAATAATGGAATTAGAATTGAGAGTTGGGTGGTATAGTAGAAATTACTGAATTAGAGATCAGAAGATTTCACTACTCATTCTCTGTGTCATCTTAGGGAAGTTAACCTTTTGGGCCCTTAGGAAGCTCATCAGTGCAATGAAAATAAATAATATTGTTTGCTTGAAAGCAGGATGTTGGCCTAGAGGATTTTATAAAGTCCAATATAGTTTTAAGATTACATTTATATTAAATCAACCTCAAAAGCATTTTCCAATACATAGGAAAAACCAATAATCATTCAAATACTCTGTTAGAATACACAAATTAATAGAGCTAGGTATAACTTTGTATAGCAAAGAATCAATCATATTGATTCTTTTATATAATAACTTGAAATTCCTAACTTTCTTCCTTTTTTTTTTTTTTTTTCAGATTTTTAGTTTTTTTGAGATAGTTCAGCTATGTAGTTAAGGCTGGGCTTGAACTCACTTTGTAGCCTAGGCTGGCCTCAAACTTGCAGCAATCCTCCTGCCTCTGCCTCCTGGGACTACAGGTATGTAACACCACACCTGGCTTGAAATTCCTAATTTGTTCATTATTATTTTGGCAAATATTATAAAACATGGATCCCTTAGTTCCTTCTTCCATTATGAGAACTCAGAACAAACATTTGGGTTTAGAGAAGGGCTCCTAATACTATGCCTTTGGCTTATCATAACCCACAACTCCAAGCCTTTACAAAGACAGTTTCTTTTTTTGGCGGGGGAGGGGTACTGGGGATCAAACTCAAGTCCTTGTGCTTGAGAGGCAGGTGCCAGAACCACTGAGCTAAATCCTGAGCCCTACAGAGACAGTTTTGATGGAGGTCATGCAGAATCACTAACTCAGGGAGAAGGGTACTACTAATAGCTGCTTTGCTAAGCCAGTTCTGTAGAATTTCCATATAGATCTGTTGAATATTCTTACCCAACAGTTTTGTGTGTCTCCATGAGGATGGTTCCATTTGGTCCTGGGACAGGCATGGAATTGTAGCGAATGCTGACTTGTGACTTACGCAGGAGACCCTCTCGGGCTATCTTGAGTCCTTCATAGAACATTGCTAGTAAAAACACTGCCACAAAAGCTCCAGCCATTTCTAGGTAGGAAAGGAAGAGATGGTGGTACTATTAAACATGTGTAAAAATCATTAGCCAGTTTTCAGCTAGAAAGACAACAGAAAAAAAGTGTTACTCTCAGTTTTTGAGAATAGTTGTATTGTTAGCTTTTCATCTGACCACACAGGAGAACAGCTAAGATTTTGTTAGTGAAAGCCATAGCCTCTGCTTTCGTGTTTACTTTTTTGTGGGGAGAGGGTTGTTGAAGATCTTACCCAGAACCTTCTGCATGCTAAGCACATGATCTACCACTGAGTTATACCCCCAGCCTCCAATTTACACTTTTTCCTTCCTTCTTTCCTCCCTGCTCCCCTCCCCTCTTTCTTTTCTTTCTCCCTCCAACCCCCAGGCTCTTGCTATCTTGCCCAGGCTCATCTCAAACTCCTGGGCTCAAGTGATCCTCTATCCTGCCTCAGCCTGCCAAGTAACTGGAATCACAAGAGTATGTCACTGGGCCTGGTTTTTATTATTACTGTTCTCATATTAATCAGTTAATTTTTTTTTTTTGAGATGGCGTCTCTTTATATTGCTGAGGCTGGCCTTGAACTCCAAGGCTCATGTATACTTTAGCCTCTTGAGTATCTGGGTATATAGGAATGTGCTACTGTTCCAGGCTTACTTTCTGATTAAGGTACAAAAAACCCCCCATTTGCCTGTAATCCCAGAACTCCATGAGGCTGAAGTAGGAGGATCACAAGTTGCGTCCAGCCTGGGCAATTTAATAACTCAGACGCTGTATCAAAATTAAAGAAAAAAAAGGGTGGGGGATTTAGCTCAGTGGTTCTGCCACCTGCTTTAAAAGTGCAAGTTTGTTCTCCAGTACCAAAAGAAAAAAAGAAAAAGAAAAAAGAAAAATAAAGGTGGGGGAGACCTGGCGATATATAGTGCACCCTTGACTTACGAACTCAACTGGTTCCCAAGGGCTGGTTGTAACTCAGTTTGGTTGTAAGTCAGTACAGCTGAGATCTGGATGTTTACCTGGGTACACACTTTAGATAACAAGAGGTAGATGAATCTTCCATTAACCTATTAACCCAAATTGTTTGTATTTCAGGCAAGTCATAATTTGAGGGTCCAATGTAGCTCAGTGCAAAGGCCCTGGGTTCAATCCCTAATATTAATCCCTATCCTCCAATCATTTGAACAATAACCTTTTGTTTTGGCTGCTTCATGTCATTAAATTAGCTGGTTTACATTAAAATATACAATGTAGAATACTGAAAAAGGGAATAAATCTGGGCATGGTGGTGCACACCTGTAATTCTAGAATTTAGGATGTTGAGGTAGGAGGATTATGAGTTCAAGGCCAGTCTGGGCTTCCTAGTGAGACTGTCTTAAAAAAAAAAAAAAAAAGAAAGAAAATAAAAGAAAAAGGAAAGAAGCTTCTTTTCTTTTTTTTAAAACTCAGATGGGGTAGGGTATCACTGTGCTTCCCAGGTTGGTCTCAAACTCCTGGGATCAAGCTGTCCACCCATCTCAGCATCCCTAAAACAATGCATTTTTAAGTACTTAGATATATATTTTTTTAATCTTTTGAGGTAGGGTCTTGCTATGCAGTTCCAGCTGGCCTTAAACTCACTGTGTAGCCTAGGCTGTCCTGCAATTTGAGATGCTCCTGCCTCAGCCTTCTGAGTGCTAGGATTACAGGCATGCATCACCACACCCAGCTTGACTACATTTCTTGAATAGACATTTCAATGCTAAACCCTTTACCTTGTGAACTGTTGATAATGAAATGAGGGTATCATACTGCTAATTTAACATATTACCTAAACTAAATGCTCCCATTTTTCCCCAAACAAATAAATGAATTCTGAAGATTCAAAGATAAGCCTGCAAAAAAATAAAAAATAAAAAAAAAATCCATGCAACAGGAACCCAAAAACAAGCAGGAGTACCTAATTTATTTCAGTCAAAGTGGACTTTAAGCCAAAGCTGATCAATTTTAGTATATGTGCTGCCAAAGTGAGCATGCCAAAGCTAACCAAAAGAGATAAAGAAGGACATTGCACAGTGGTTAACAGAACTATTCAACAGGAAGAGATAAAAATTATAAACATGTAATGCACTAAGCCACATTCACCCAACTTCATAAAACAAACACCATTAGTGTTTGTATCTGCTAAATATCAGATAAACATAAACACAATTATAGTGGGAGACCTCAGCACTCTACTATGAAAACAGATCAACTAAATTTAAAAAATCAACAAAGAAATATCAGATTTGAACCAAACTTTTGAACAAATGGACTTAAAGATATCTACAAGCATGTTCCACCTAACAGAAACAGGAATTCTTTTTGGCAGCACATGATACTTTCTCCAAAATAGATCATGCATTAGCTAATAAAACATACTTAAGTAAATGCAAAAGAATTGAAATTTTACCATAGAGTATCATGTCATCTGCAAAAATTGGGTTTCAACTTGCCAAAGATTAAAACTAGACCTATATCTCTCACCATGCATTAAACTAAAATTGAAAAGGATTAAAGATCTAAATATTAAAACATAAATACTAAACTGGCTGGAAGAAAGTTTAGGTAGAGCTCTTGAAGACATTGGTGTAGGAAAAGATTTCATGAACAAAACCTCAGTTGTATGTAAATTAGCACTAAGAATCAACAAGTGGGATCTCTTCTTATTAAAAATCTTCTGCACAGCAAGAGAAACCACTAACAGCATGAAGAGACAACCTATGATGGGGGAAAATTTTTTACCAGCTATTCCTTAACGAAGTCTACTATCTAGAATATATAAAGAACTTAAAAGAATCAGACCTCCCAAATTTAAAGATCCAATCCAAAAATGGGCATCTGAAATGAACAGACATTTCTCAGACAAAGCAGTAGAAATAGAAAATAAACACATGAAAAAAATGTTCAACATAACTGGTCATTCAAGAGATGCAAATGAAAACAATGCTGAGATTCCATCTCACCCCAGAAAGAAAGTCAACTATCATGAAATTAACCAATAACAAATGCTGGCAGCTGTGGGGAAAAAAGAACCCTTCTCCACTGTTGGTGGAAGTGTAGACTGGTGCAACCACTGTGGAAATCAAGATGGAGATACCTCAAAGAACTAGAACTAGAGGTACCATTTGACCCAGCTATTCCCTTTCTGGGTATCTTCCCAAAAGAAGTAAAAGAATCATGCCACAGTGATATATGTGCACCCATATTCATAGAGGCACAGTTTCTAATAGCTAAAACATGGAAACAGCCCAACTGTCCATCAGCTGAAGACTGGATAAAGAAAATGTGTGTGTGTGTTTTTTTTTTTTAATAAAATGGAGTAGTACTCAGCCTTAAAGGAGAAATTAGAAGCATTTATAGCTAAATGGATGCACAATGAGGCGATACTCTTAAGTAAAATAGACACCCGTGTAAATACCAAATAGTTTCTCTGGTGTGAGAGAAACTTAAAGTGTAAATAAGGATCAAAATGTATAATAGATAATGTGGAATACAAGAAAAGGTACAAAGGAGAAGGGCAAGGAGGAAAATTAGAGGAAAGGAAAGAGGGGAATAGAATTAATATGAGAAAATGAAAAAGTGGAAACAAAGTCTTTTTAAATAGGGAGGGGTGGAGGGGTTGAAGGTAGGACAGAGGAATGGGGAAAAAATAAGAATCAAGATATATTATGTAAAGGTACAAATCTCCAATGATTAATGTCATTATATTGTATACCTAAAATGCACCAATAAAATTAATTAAAAAAAAAGAAATTAAAGAAGTAATACAAAACCTACTGACATAGAAAAGCCCAAGACCAAATAGATTCACTGCTGAATTGTACAAGAACTTCAGAGATAATTTTACATCATTACTCCTCAAACTCTTTAATGAAGTTGAGAGACAAAGAATATTCCCCAAATCATTCTTAGGCGTTAACATTATCCTGATCCTAAAACCAGACAAGGATTCAACCAACAAAGAGAACTAACCACAAGCCAATCTTTCTAATAAATACAGATGCAAAAATCCTCAGCAAGATACTGACCAACGGAATGTAACAAACCATCAAATAGACCATACACCATAACTGAGTAGGCTATCACAGGGATGCAAGGATGGTTCAACAAATGGAAATTGATAAATGTATTCTACCACATAAACAGAAGCAAGGACAAAAACCACAGGATCATTTCAATAGACACAGAAAAAGCTTTTCTAAATCTAGAATGCATAAAGAATGCAAAAAATTAGATACCCCAAAAGACTCAATCAGAAAAGGGCAACTGAAATGAAAAGACACTTCTCAGAAGAAGTACAAATGGCCAATAAGTGAAAAAATGTTCAACACTGCTAGCTTTTTTTGGGGTGGGGGGAATTGAACTCAGGACCTTGTGCTTGCAAGGCAGGTGTGTTGCCACTGGGCCTAATTCTAATATCTACTTATATTAAAAATACAATTAAAATAGTAAAAAAAGAAAGGCAGTCCAACAAACTATTGGGCTCTTACAATCTGAATTTAAAGCATACCAAAGCAATATGCACACAAAGAGATGGGTGCTCAGCTACCCCAAAATTAGGAATGACTAAGAATCAGGAAAGATATGAACCATCATTTGGAACACTAGAAACAGCTCTGGTCTAGGCAGTTCTAGAAGGCCTTGGTCCTTGTTCTAGTTCTAACATATTTACTGTATAGTATTTAGGGCAAATCATGTCATAAATTTGAGGTTAATGTATCTGCAAAACAGGAGTGTTATGGCTTGTGTCTAGATGTGACCCCAAAGCCTCATGGGGCCATAGGTGGGGCTTTCCAGAGGTGGCTGGATGTAGAGTGTGTGGTGCTGGGATCAAGGGTGTGTGATTACTAAATGAGTCCACTGATTGGTTTGGCATAGTTCTGAGTGTGAGTAATGGAAAGGCCCACCCTGAGTATGAGTGCTACATGCAGGCATGTAGCCTGGATAGAATATAAGGGACAGAAAGAGGGATGCTGTTGTCACTTCCTACTTTGCTGTTTCTTCACAGCTTCACTGCCTTGCTGCTCTCTGCCTGCCATGAATTGTTTCTCCACTCTCCACTGCAGTACCTCTCTGCCATAGAACCCGCTGATTACAGAATGAAACCTGTATGAACTGTGAGCTACAATAAAACTTTCCTCCTTTAACTTTGGGTGTCAGGTATTTTGTCTTAGCAATGTGAAAAGTAACTAAGATGGGAGGATTACATTAGATCAACAGTTTTTAACATAGGGTTATTTTGTGGAATTTTAATATGTCTGTTGTAGTCAGTCTAGGACCAATAATTTATCAAATAAGGAAACTCTGGGAAAGAATGAAAGGATATGAATTGCAGAAGACCTCTATGTAGGATCTGCATTATTTTTAAGAATTTCAAAACATACACGTTAATTAAGGGAGATTTATTGGAGGACCAAAATACTGTATCTTCCACCTCCTAGTTAGGGAACAGGAAGCACCAGGGTTATATAACAGGATCAGACTGATTCAGATATTAGGTCAGAAAGAGATGCTGGGTATCCAAATTCTTTATCACTATCTGTCACGTCATTGTCACCTTCAAAAACCCACCACCTGATGGTTTACTCACCTCCAGCTGTATTAATCACCAAACCAGAAAACAAGAGCTCCACATTCTTAAAGCCAAAGTAGAAGGTCATAGGCTGCCAGAAAACCAAAATAAGTTAATTAGAGATGACTGAAGACAGTAAATGAGAATTTTAGTACATTTAAAGTAAAGATCTAGATAAGAAGAGACATTCAAGGAAGTGGGAGGTTTCCACTCTAAATTTAGTATTTGTACCAAAATACTAAGAGAACTAGCCTGTGCTTCAGCCAACTCTTGTCTTTTTCTTTTTACTACACAAAGCATAAATAAGGCCTGGCGTGGTGGCACACGCCTGTAATCCCAGCACTCGGGAGGTTGAGGCAGGAGGATCACTGTGAGTTCGAGACCAGTCTGGGCTACATAGTGAGTTTCAGGTCAGTCTCAACTACATAGTGAGACCCTGTCTCAAAAACAAACAAACAAACAAAAAACCACAAAGCACAAATACCAGAACTTAATTCAGAAAAGGGTGAATTTCAAAAGAAGCGACTAGAGAAGAACCCTAAAACTCTTGGTTCTGTGTGTCTCTAATTTGCCACATGAATTTAGGCAAATTGACTCATATTTCAGGATCTGCTTTAGCTTTTCCTCTTAGGTAAACTGACCTTTAAAGGTAATAACTTCCCAGTACAAAAATCCCATTATCTCCATAACCCGAGTGGGTGGGGAGGGGCTTGCGTCCCTCTCCTGTGGTACTCACCATCATCATCATGTTGCCATCTCCCCCACCGTGGGAGTGCGAGGCTGAAGTTGTTGGGTGATGGTGAGACGGTGGCATAGTGCTGCTGCTGTTGTCCATATAGTTTTTCCCCTTATGGTGGGAATGATTCATTTTTTCCAGGAAAGTTGAGAGCACTGAAGAACCTAGGACCACCAAAATTTAAAAATATATATGTATATGTATAGCTTAAGGATAGAAGAATATTGTTTTTTAATTTACATAGAATTTCAAATACTTGGTTACATAGAATTTTATCCAATGAATGAAAGCATTTCACTCAGAATTATTTTTCATAATTTATAGATCGAGAGATATACCTTGAGCTATTAGAAATCACCTTTGGAGACTGTAGCAAACAGGATTCGTACTTAGGTTTTCAAACACCTAATCCTTCCTTACTCTGTAATTCTTACAGAATTGTTCTTTTATGAGACATATTTAGCTGGGTGTGGTAGTACATGCAATCCCAGCCCTTGGGAGGCTGAGGCAGAAAAATCACCATGAGTTTGAGGCCAGCATGGGCTACATAGTGAATCCAAGCCCACTCTGAGCTACATAGTGAGACTGTCTCAAAAAACAAAAACAAAAAAAGACATTTAAAAATATGTTCAAATTTAAATGCAAGATAAGGAGAAGAAAAGCAGCTTTTGGGGGGTTGCAGGAAATAATTTGTAATAATATATAAATGGATGCCATTAAATTTAATTGTCCCAAGCCTTTCTAAGCTCAAATGTCAGCAGATAAAAAGCCAGTATTTCAGATAATTCACCTAATTGGGATGGTTGTCTGCATTTATTTATTTTTTTTTTTTTTTTCTCATTGAGTTTTTTTGGGATGGTCTACATTTAATCAGGATATTCTAATTACATTTCACTTCCAGGACAACCAACCTTCAGCTAATTTAAATTTGAAGAAAGGTCTACTGCTGCCCTAGGCAAGCAATGTGCTCAGACTTCAGATAACACTTTCAATCTTACCAGGGCATCAGAGTTAAGAAAACAAAATAAAAATTTAATAGTCTATGTTAAATTAAATCTATACACTGCATACTCAGCCTTGTATCTTTCCTACCACATCAATACTGCAGAAGTCAACTTGGGACATCAATCAATACCAAGAAATACCTAGAGCTGGAGTTGGGTAAGGCAGTGGGATGTCCAGGGTGGTGTGGAGAGGAAAGTGTTAGGGCCTCTCAACTTCCATTTGTGGAACAAAGAGTAGCTTCAGAAATTCCAAGTCAGTATTCATGTTCATAAGCCTGAGTAAGCATCTCATTATTCACTTAATCAATAAATGTTTATCAAGCTCCTATGATGGGCTAAATTCTGAGCAACGTGCTAGTAATTTAACAATGAATAAGACAAAGTTCTGATAAGGAGAGAAAAAAATAAATAAATACAACAATTTCATGACTAGTACTATGAGGGAAATAAACAGTAGTATGACAACATTACGAAGATATGCAGGAGAGATATACTTTACATAGGAAATTTATACATTCATGGAACCATGTATTCAGCTCAAACACAAATAGCCATTTATTTTTCTCTCATTAACTTCTACTTCATGATTTTATGATAGTAGGCTTAAAAAAAAGGCTTATTTCCAGTTAAGGATAAGGCAAGTTCTACCTTGAACTTAATTAACTTTCATGTCAGATGCTATGTTATTTCATAATTATAAAGCTTGATAATCTGGTATTGTTAATACTCTTGTCATAAAAGGACTAGATTGGAGGTACAAAGAGATACTTAACAGGGTCTTTTTCCACCAAGGTTTTATAGTAAACACTATATAATAAGATACACACAAAAAAATAGTATGCATAAAGTGTCAATGATGGTGACAATCAGCAAGTAGACAGCAGTTTTCAAAGGAAACCATGGTGGGATATATAAGATTATAGTTTTGAAACAAGCAAACAAAGTGAAATAAGAATGAAACGATTTTTGCCAGCCAGAACAACTGCTAAACCATCTCATAAAGAAACTGAAGTAAAATAACAAATTTTGTTCTTTTCCAATGAAAGTCTGGAAACTAATGATAATATTAGAGAAGGGTAATTTTATTCCACGTTATCAACATGAATTCTGGCCATGTGACGCAGAGAATATTTGCTGAATGTCTCTTATTGTAAGAGACTGAGAGAGATATACAAATGACCTATAGATAGTATTTCCACAAAGAGTTTCAAGGTTAAAAACTAGAAAGGGAAACTGAACAGTAACATTTTTTTATTTTGGGGTATATGACAAGGACAGTTTAAGAAAGCAAGAACACAGCACTACAAACTACTTAAGAGTTGTACCCTTGATTTCTTTGGTGAACACTTGCAATGTTCTTCCCATTAACGTTTTTTTTTTTAGAGAGGGTCTCACTATGTAGCCCAGGATGGCTTCTAACTCTCATTGATCCTCCTGTCTCAGCCTCCTGTGGGCTGGAATTATAGTGCTGGGCTTATAGGTAAGGACCACCATACCCACTCCCATTCATAATTTTTGAAGACACACAGAGCCTTCTTGTTCAGCCCCCTCAATACCAATTAGAAAAACCTATTCAATGACAATGTATTGTTAATTTTCTTCAGACATATCAGTGACTCAGGAATTCATATGGTCAAATTTCTAGAAAACCTTTTGAAGTATGCAACTGTTTTATTTTTTGGTAGTACTGGGGGTTGAATTCTGGGCCTCAACCATGCTAGGCAAGCACTCTACTAATGAACTACATCCCTAGTTCCTATGCACCTGCTCTGAAGTGTCATCTGTGTAGGATACATTTCACATTCAAATATATTAGGAAATAGAACAAGAATAGAATTTACTTGCTTTTGTTGTCAGTGGACAGAAGATTTTTGTAATAGAATCATATGAAAGACTTACCCCATGGTATCTGAGTATTAAGATATAAATCTGGTGGAAAGTAACATAAAAGCATACTCAAATCAATCCTGGTAAAACCAAATGCTCATGAAAATGCACATGTATTTTGGGCTGGGGTTGTAGCTCAGTGGTATAGCCTTTGCTTAGCATGTATAAGTCCATGAGTTCAATCCCTATTACCAAAGGAGAAGGAAATCCTTATTCTAGGAAAATTTTCATGGTAATATGTCATGATTCCAAAAAATCGAAACTTAGAAATTAATTATTAAAGCATAATAAACAAAAGTGATTATATTTCTCTACCTATATGATATTTCATTAATATGTTATGTGTATTTTTATATAACCCACTTTTTTTTTTCCTTTGGTACCAGGGATCAAACTCAGGACCTTGCACTTGCAAGGCAGGTGGCGGAACCACTGAGCTAAATCCCCAGACCTATAACCCACCTTCTAAAATAATCAAACACACCTAACCCAGTGTCTCTAGGGTAAAAATTCTATTTACAGGAGGTAAATTTACATTTTTGGCTTTCATCTGTTTACTTTTATAGCTTTAATTTAATATGATCCAAGCTCAGCTTCTTCCAGAATGAAAATGGATACTGAAGTAAGAAAAAATCAAAGTCCATGACAAAGCAATATGATCTGCTCTCTCAATTTGTAATCTGAAAAGAATGGTTTAATTTCATTGTATTCATGAGTTGTATTGTTCCACCTTTGGTTCATTCAAATTTCTTTAAATTTCACAGCCAATATTTACTGTCTAAGAACCATTTTCTCTAATTTAGCTCCACCATCTCCATCTCATTCTAAGAATTACATTCAAGGTCCACAAAGCAGATGGACTGTATTTTATGGAATTGAGGTTCTTGACTGCAAAGCAATTATAATTAATGGAATTTGTGGAAGAGAAAGTAATGCATCAGGTATGGTGATGTCTGTCCATAATCCCAGCACACAGGGAGGCTGAGGTAGGAAGATCACAAATTCAAGCCCAGCCTGGGCAAGTCTTAGAGACCCTGTCTCAAAAAAAAAAAAGGGCTGGCACTATAGCTTAGTGAGAACACCCTACATTCAATCCCCAATACCCACCAAAAGTAATGATATGAGTAATGGGTGAAACTTTAGCAAAATATTTGTAAAATATTTATTGATTCACTGGATTTCTGATTTTTGTTTTTACCACTCATTTTTTTGAGACAGTGTCTCACTGTGCAATTCAGGCTGGCCTTGAACTCACTATGTAGCCTAGGCTGGTCTCAAACTTGTAGCAATCCTCCCACCTCAGCCTCCTAAGTGCTGAGATTTCTGAATTTTTAAGACAATTCACACAAGCTAATTCTAGGTTAAATATACAACATTCACGTTTCTTCTTATCCTCAGTCTATTATTACATCAAATTCTAATAAAATGTATAACTCAGGGATAGAACTGAAAAAATCTCTCAGGTTCCTAACTTTCAAACTATGATAAAATCCACCCATAGTATTATACTTACCAAGTTGAACTTATAACTAAGTAGAACGATTAGAAATACTGTACTTAGGGGCTGGGGATTTAGCTCAATGATGTCAACCCCTGCCTTGAAAGTGCAAGGTCCTGAGTTCAATCCCTGGTACTGCAAAAAAAGCAAAAACAAAAACTGTACTTTATTTACATTTTTGCCTAATCAAGTAAACTAGTTTTCTTTAACAGATGGACTCACACCAGGCAATCACCTTTGCATTAGATAATGGAAATTAATTATACAACAGGAAAATATCTGTCAGAATTTGGAAGTGTTTAGACCAGAGAAAGTTACTTAGCCTTTCTGGAGCGAGTTTCCAGGCTGCTGAACTTGGAGAAGGGGAGTATTAAATGAGATAATCCATATAAAACATCTAGTAAAGTTTCTGAAAACTGGTTGCTATTATCATTATGTGGAATAATAGGGCATAAAAGATCTCAAGCAGGAGAAATCTAGTAATCAAACTTTGTGGGAGAAGACATAAATTAAAATATTAGCTTTGTTAGCTTCTCTTCTACACTGGATTTTAGCAAAGAGCACTTTCAAGTTCCTTTTTTACCTAGCCTAACTCCCAAAGTCATGAAATGATGTACCAACAGGTAAATGGATAGTTCCTAAGAGCTCCTTCTTGCAACACAACATTTTTGGGATCTTTAAGGAAATGGAAAATGGTTTAGGGAGTATTTAAAAATTTCAAGCACAAATATATATGGATCTTAGTACATATAAAATAAGAGGAGACTTTCTCAGG